ACTTTGTGATATTTATGTCAAATAAATTAATTTTTTCTAACATTAATAAACCTTTGAAATTAACATACGCTATACGGATACTTAAATGATGGCGTTTATTATTGGATACAAAATTATTGTAATAATGTTTACCTTTGGTGTAGAACTTGGCTAGTTGAATAATGTTTCCACCAGCTCCACAAAAATGGTCCATCGCAATTTTTCCCTTGCAATGTTGATCGATGTGGTAACTTGATATTTCTGGACAAACCGAGTACTCTCTGGATCCAATCTAACGCCTCGATCCTATTTTGTGAATAATATGTATTGTTTATCTCAGTATTTTTTGAGGAAATTTTTCGGAGGAACTGCTTTGGTGAAATTTTTATCGGAATTATGAGAACTCTGTGAAAAAAAAAATTAAATTGATTTGACTCATCTTTTAGTATTAATATAATCGTTACTTTAAAATGTATTTATTTGACTTTTAAATTTTCGAAAATAAAGTGTTACATATATTTTATATAATTTTATTTTATTTATTCATTTTAAGATTAATTGATATAATTTATAAATTATGTTACATATAAATAAATAATAAATTTAATAAGATTTTAGTTCTTAATTGGAAAAAATGACACCCTAGGTCACGGTCTACTCCTAAATACGCCACTGTTTTGAAAAGTTGTTAACATAACAAACATATATTTCATGAATAATTTTCACAAAAAACTTAAGGTAAATTTTCAAAAGATGGTTTATTACGAGGTGCAAGGATGCAACCAACAAAATAGTTGTTACACGTATTACGAGTTTTAATTAATATTACTGAGTAATCATAATATAATATTATGTTTCAATTTATTTAACATATTAACTGAAAAATGGAAATTAATTTATAATACTGAATATAATATTTTAATATTTTATACATTTTTTTTAGACAACGTAATATTTAAAACATAAATATTACTTTTTTCTGCACGTGTTCAAGCAATAGGGGTAAAAAATTTTGAGATAATATACATGTATAATACACAAGGGTTTACAAATACAGGTAGCTAATTGGTTTTTTATGACATCGATATTAGCAGGTACACAGCATTGTTATTATTAATAGTAGTAAGGCACATTGTTGTGAGTTTATAAATACACTAACTGACAACACACAAGGTATATCTAATGATAGTCATAATTGATAATAAAGAATCCGTGACTATGACAGCAATGTCATAAAAATCCAATTAGCTACCTGTAATTATAATCCCTTATATATTATACATAAATAGTATAAGGGATGAACTTAAAGTGTTACATAATTAATAATTCAACAATAATGTGTAACTAAAGATAATCGGAAATAAAAATGTTTAGTTTATTATTATTCTGTAAGTAATTGAGTGGGTAATGATAAAAAAATCACTCTGTATACAATGTATTTTATGGTTGCATTTTTCAAGTGAATTTTATTAAATAATGTGATTTTTGTTTATATTACTCAATTATCTCAAAAAAGGTCTCGCTGCATTTAATGAGATCGTAAACAAATATTATGTATCATTGATGCGCTGTAAGTTGCATTGAAATAATTTGGAAACTATTAGATAATAGTTCTATTTAAAACAATTTTTAATATTTAACTAAAAATTTTTGTTTGTAAATTTCAATCATTTTTTTCAACTAATTTATGTTTTGTAGAACAACATAATTAATTGAAATAATATTTATTATAATAAATATATTTTTATTAATAAAAATATATATTAAATATTTTTTTTATGTTCATAAGTTAATAAGGAAATCTCACTCAAACATGAAGGAGCCTTAGCTCCCTATTTCCGATTATAGCTACTTCTACGAATAATTGATTTGTTTAATGAATTTATTTAATTAAAACGATTTTAATTCAAAATTATATTTTAGGTAAATATGTTTGTCTAAAAGGCAAGTGTAAGGGTCAAACCTTTCTTTTGTTATTTATGACTGTCCGTTCGACCCACCGTTCGTAAACGGATGGTTTCTATTATCCGTTGTGAACGAACGTTTTTTATTGTTCTAAATGGTCGTCCGTTCGATGTTTCATACGTTCCGAACGTGTTCACGAACAATGTTCGCCATATAAACCTATATAAAATAAAATCTGAACGTATAAGTTCGTGAACGGACGATTCAAAAATAGATCCCCGACCGTTTGCCGTTAACGACTCTATTCCATTATTGAACAAATTGGTACAAGAAAACAACAAACATGTGCCATCTAGCACAGTCAATGACAGAAGAAGATGAGCCAACACTGATCTAACGGCTATTTTAAATCGGTAACGGTCAGTTTTTTTGGAAGAGATCAATACCGATAAATAATTATTCGATTTTAATTATATTCATTCTCCTTTGTTGCCTTATCTAACGGTCAGCGGTAAAAATAATGAGTTGTTGACACCGTTGTCAGAAAAAGGTTCATTCGCGCATTCTCTTGTGCGATAAAATAAATAAGTAGACACAACAAAAAATTATAAACAGTCCACCTTCGAATTTGTGTCGTTACAATATAACTATATTATTCATAAAGTGATCATATATGTGCATTCAATATTGAATGCGCATTTTTATTTCAGGAAATTTGAAGGACTTCTAATTATATTAAAATTGTCATAAATTCACAAATACTATGTATGTGCTGTGAATATTCAAAAAAACTATTTGTAGACAATAGAAATCCTATAATTTTGTATGTTCTTTCATTATTGAAAAATCATGACTTTTGGATTAAAGTATTTATTTTGGAAGCATTAATTAATTAAATCGGTAGTTTGAGAAACCCATTTAGTCCAAAAGTAAAAATTATACAGATTAAGAAAAAATTCATGCTTGAATTACTTAAAATCCAATTAATTAGTATTTTAGTTTTTTTATTAGAATTTTTTTATCCAATATTTGGTGTCAATTGATAATTTAATGGTTACTTTAACCGTATTATACTGTATTGTGCAATAAAATATCAATTAAAAGTGACTTAACGAACATCCATTAAAAATTGTAGGTACATCGTAGAATTTGCGATAATTACAAAGTACTTGATAATTCTAACGTGATACAACTAAAACTGATAGAATGTAACATTATTTTATTTACAGACAATATAGTTTCTTTTAATTGTCATCTAAATAGAATTTACTGAAATGATTAAGTAAAATAAATATACAAATTTTCTTAATTATATCTGTATTTATTTTATGGAGAAAAATTGTTTCTGTGGTTACAGATCATTAATAAAAATTAATATGCTCTGTACTCAGACCATATAAAATTATGAACACGTGAAATTAGTAAATCTCATATTTTAACTAATAATCGATAATCTTAGTAGAATTATACATTTTGTAAATATTAATGACATCACTTAGGTTTCAAATCATTAACCCTTTCAGCCCTGATACCAGAAAAAATGAATATAATCCATTTTGTTTTTCACAGGCTATTTAATTATGAAGCAAATAAGTACTAAAAAAATTTTTTTTTTGAAACCCTATTTCCCCACTTTTTTGACTGGCACTTATTTGTCCCGTTTACATTTTTATTTGAAATACTTATTGCAAGTGGTCCTTAGATGTCCCGACCGGACGGTTTATACGACAATAGTAACCATTTAATTTATATAAACAATTTTCGAACTGGATTCAGACGTCCCGCCCGTCTTGAAAGGTTTAAATTGTAGAATCATAATATAATAGTTAATATGTTCTTCACAAGTATATCTTTATTTTTATTTTATACTTTTACTCTAATATACGTTATTCAACGTTATCGTATAATTAGAAAGTTATTCTTCAAAAATTTTCTACAATTTGAAAAAATACCCGAGTAGCAATTCGAGTTCATACTGGGTTCATTTAATATAGTAACAACGGTGCTGAACTCAGTTCAAAACCCGTTCACAGCACAGTTCAAAATGAGATTTGAATACGGATTTTAACATGGGGTGAACCGAGTTCTACAAAAGTTCAGAAAGTGTTCAAAGACCGTCCCTCGGTTCAACTATAAAACCCTCGATAACAGTTCAATAATCGTTCATTAGTTCAATAAAAGCAAACTCTACGACGATTCATTAAGCGTTCATTAGTTCATTAGCAGTTACGGTATTTTAAATTAAATTTATAGGTTTTGTAAATATTCAAACATTTTATAATTTTAAAATAATGAATTGTATTACTATATACACAATGTATAAAATAAAATATATTATATGTGAATATAAAATAAAATAGTTAACTTTCGAATTTTAGGTTTATTTTATATTAAATGATAATTTGTAAACAATCCATTCATACAATTTGATAATAATTAATATAAATTAATAACAATAGTTATTAATTTTAAATAAAAATAATGATGTTAGCAATGTCAGCAATTTATTTACTGTAACTCAGTTTGATTTATTGTTGTACAATATATATCAAAAAAATCCAATAAAAATATTTTATCATAATAAATTAATCACTAAGGTGTTATAGAGTTTAGACAAGAAATATACAGGGTGTTCAGTAAGTCATGAAACTGGTTTCTATTGTTTTCATTGTTACAAACAATGAGAACAATAGAAACCCGTTTCCTGACTTACTGAACAACCTGTATAGTTAATATTAGTACAGTATTAGTAAATTGTGAAATTGCAATAGTTGATATAACAAAAAATATTACTGTGTTTATAAAAACAATTAGTAATTTTAATTTAATTTCCATGAAATTGAATAAAAGAAAATCATTGCCATAAGTACAACGAAAGAAGTAAAACATATAAATAGCATTCAATAAGATGGCATAAGATTACCATGTTTTTTTTTTTTACTGTTTTTATTTTGTTTCCTAAATGCTATATTTTGTTTTCACTATTAATAAAAAAACTGAAATATTCTAAGTAAATCAATTTTAAAAATCATTTACAAAAAGATAAAATGTTGATTGAATAATAAAAAAAAAAAAGGATTTTATTGCTTTATTACCAGAATGCTTTAAAATATTAGCTATTATTTTGTTAAATGTTCTTTCGTGTTTAGGTATTATGATTTGGCCAGACATAGCATCTAAAAAATAAAAAATAATCAAACATTAGTACATACATGATAACTAGTAAATATATTTGTATAGAACATACAAGGATTCAAAAATTAAGGATAAGGGTTCCCATTGTTCGTAACAATTGGCTTGTTTCCCTTTATTTATTGAACATAGTATATCTATACAACAGATGGACGGAGCACAGGCAAAACATGTTGTATAGAAGGGACTATTTCATAGAAAAGTGTGGGGATGTCATATCCCCCAAAGTTTATTAAAATCATAAGACGGAATTTTTAAAATAAATTGTAGAATTTTGTATCCATGAAAGTACTTTGTCGGCAATATTCACTTCACACCCCCATAAAATTTACTACTAGGATCACTCCTGTATACAGGTTGTAGCATCATCTTCATTTCTTTTTATACATTTTTTAACTGCTATTTAGAAAAGAATAAAAATACTAATTATACTATGATATAACCAGTATTTTTTCTCTGTAATAAAAAGGAGTAAGTCTGATTGGGATTTACACCAACAATATTCATATTGTTTGAAACCTTATGGCTTCTTCAATGACAGCATTTTAACCAACATAGCGTGATCTGTACACACGACACCCCAAAATCATTCAAGTAAGTTTTTCTATGAAAAATGTAGTATAAATCAAAAAATTATTTTTTCTTTATAGTTTCAAAATTAGTCTTCCAGATTTAGTTTGATTTACTAACGCGCTACCAATATATTAACATATTCAATTTGCATTTTTATTACAGTTTAATGTTCATACCACGAATTACCTAAAAAATGTGAAGCTTATTAAAAGCTTGATGATGTTGTCACAAAAACTAAAATTTGCGGCCATTTCTCTTGTCATACAAAAATCAAATGCTGTTCTCCTCGTATATGCACTAAAATAATAATATTATTATTATTTTTTAGGATATACAATGTTATAATTATAGTTCAATCATTATTAAAATAGTTGGTATCTTACCAGTATTAATATAGGCTCTAGTAATTGTATCCCAAATAATATAAATAAGAAGTGAAGATAAAAATACTTCAATAGAACAACCTTTCAAGTTAAATAAAACATGCTCCCAAAGAATAATTTTATTTAAAATAATATACCTATAAAAAAATAATTAACAACTATGCTTTGGGTATAAAAAATTTTATAATTTACTATTATATAATAGTAAATATACTACATTTTTTATTTTTTATTATTTCAAATAAAAATATTTTAATACAATAGAGTATAAAGTTTTAAAGTTATTTCATAAATGTCAATAGATATTTATTCAGATTTCTGGAGAAGAAAGAATATAGGGAGTTCAAATATTTTTGTGTAAATGATAAATTATTATTAGTTATTGAACTTCCGGTTAATATGAACTCAATGTTCAAAAATGTTTATTGAGTTATATCAATTTACAATTAAGCGCCAACACATAAATTTCAGTTAATAAACTATATNACATAAAGTTCAGTTAATAAACTATACAGAAATTAACCTTTTAGTGTTACAGTATTCAAATGTTTGATCAAGTACATGGCTATGCTTTGTAAAATATTTATTATACTTATAAAAAAGACATATTTTTTAAATATTGGAAATTAAAAAAGCATGATATCCATCAACATTTATTTATTATAACAATTTGATATAGTGAAGTAAAATTAACATAATATTTCATAAGAAGTATTTTATTTTGGTTATTATTTAAGTTATAAAATAATTGTATTTTGGATATTGGGTATTTTAGACAACCTAGGTATATAGATTTTGTTTTGGGAAACTACTGTGAATAGTTTTATTTATATCTTAAAATTACTTAGGCTACATGTAAGCCTGTCCCTCATAGATTAAAATGTGCCTTTTATAGGTTGATTTGTAGGTTACAAATAATTACAAAAATGAGTGATGAAAATCTTGTTTAATGTAAAACCCTGTTAATTGTTAAACGGTGAAAACCTTAAACTTTATACTTTTCATTTATTTAAAATTTGAATTATTGAAATATAATTTTCATTCAAATAGATGCAATTCTTTTTAACTTAAAATGTTTGATAAATTTAAATTATTGAGTAGTACGATAGAGANTAAAATGTTTGATAAATTTAAATTATTGAGTAGTACAATAGAGGGATTTTCATTAAAAATCAACAGTTTTTTAAGAGATGGTATTTCAATGTATACAATTTTGAGAAATATATAAAATGCACCATTTTAAATATTAAAATACAGAAGTAATTTGTATCAAATGTATCAATAAATAAGAAGATCTAAAATAAGCTAGAGCTGACCCTAAATAGTTGGGATAAAGGCTTAGGATATGATGATAACGGCAATGTTATATGATTAAAAATGTTCAACATTTTAAGCTCATGGAAAATCTTGAGGTATCCGTTAATAACTTCATAATAACATAACTAACGATAGTACTTTATTAAAATAAATAATTTTGTATTATAATTATAATTAATCATAATACAAAATGTGAAAAATTAATATATAATTTACCACTTGTATCTATTACAATTACAATAAATGTAGTTACTAAAATGTATGATTATCTTTTAAAAAAATAATATATGCTATTATTAAAATTAATTAATATAACTATTTATTATTTTAGTCCTAAATTTAAATTAAATGTACTTACATTTTATTGAACTTTTCAGTTAAATATATATGTGAGAGTGAACAGGGAAAAAGAGCAGTCTTGACAAGTTATCTAGTCGCTGTGAAAATGGCGAATGTCTCAAAACATAATTTGTAAAGAGAGTAAAACGATCGTTGATGATTTGAAAAAATATCACAGTAAAAATTAAATAACAAATAAAAATCGCGCGAACTAAAGCTGTTGGTCAACAGTTACTGACACGTCTGGTTATCCCGCCAAAAGTTCGTACCTTAAATTTGCGCTATAGTCTCAATGAAAATAATTTATAACTATTATTTTAAAGTTTTTTTATTAATGTGCTAATCAAGGGATAATATGTCTAATAACAATATAAGTGAATAAAACTATTTGAATGGCTATAACCGTTATAACGATTCTTTTATTATAATGAAAGAACTTTGATGAATCCGTACGATTATTTTGAACATTGAACGGTCCCAGCACTTACTAAAAATTGTTCGGTTATTTATTGAACTCTGAACTTTCCTGGAACTTATAAAAATTACACGGTTCATTATTGAACTCTCCCAGCACTCGTGGGTCAACCGACCGTGAACCAAAATAATGCTACTCGGGTATATTTTACATGATCACGGTGTTTAATGTTTTCGATAAATAAAGTCAAAATAATACTTGGTTACTTAAATATTTTTAAGTACTAATTGCTATACTATGATGTGCTTTCGATTATGTCACCAAATTAAGAAATATTTTAGAATGAGATTGTTGCTAAATCGTTTATTTGAGAGAACCCTTTAGTACAAAAGTAAAAGTTGTAAAAAAAAAAGAAAAACTTTCAATTACCTAAAATTATTTAAAACACTTTTAAGTATGTTAAATCAAAGTAGTTAACACAAATCACTAAGTTTTTAATTTTATATTAATTAATCAAAAGACTATAAGTACCTGATTGAAATTTTACTTAAAGAATTGTTTCATCTTATAATTATGGATGTTGATGAAAATAGTCTTCTCTATAAAGTAACGGTTTATCGCGGACGAATTTAAACTTAATATTACAAAAAAAAAAAAATTAAATTAATTGTATTAAAGATATTTTTTTTTCTAAATTTTATTAAATTATTAATAACTGAAATAAACTATTATAATTGTGTATTTTTTGTCGTAGTAACTATAGATATCACAAATATTATGTTTTTTTGTAACCACTCAATTTTATTTACTTTTTTGATTTTATAATATTAACATATTTTTATTAATTGAGGTTTTTTAAAAATTCTTCTAAATTGTTTGAAATTTTCTATTCGTTAGAAAATTTATGGCGTTAAAATTTAAATAATATTGAACAAATTGGATATTTTTCATTTTATTTTTTTTTAGAAATTTACCTTATTTTTGCTTATGGTAATATTTAAATTAGAAATCACGCCTTCTGAAAACATTTTTTAAATAAAGGAATCTGGAAACTAAAAAAATATTAAATTTTAACACAAAAATATGTGTCGAATTTTCACATTTTCTCTAATTTTTATAGCAATGATGTATATAACTTATTTAATACACGTATTTTGTGTATTAAATTTTTTCACTAATAAGCATAATTAAGATAATACAATACTACAGTAAAATTTGAACAAATATTTATAGCTTTGAGAAATCTGAATATTTTAAACATTTCTGGTAAGTTAATTTCATCGTTGATAAACCAAAATAAATTTTATTTATTTTAATTACATTAATCATTAATTGTATTATATTAGCTTATGTATTATGTAAAATTCGTTGAAAACTATAAAAAAAAAAAACAAATAATGAAAAATGACTTTAACTTTATCTAAGAATTGTAGTAATACAAAAATTAAGCAAAAAAGATGAAGGCTAGGTGATGGTTGTATATATATTGACCAATGTTGGATGTTTGGGGATTTGGTCAATTCAGGAGCAACGAGATTCTATCGGGGTTGTAGAGTCCGAGGGTTTAGAACAATAAAGACAAGTAGATATAAAAAGAAATCATTAAAGTTTCTCTATAGAGATATTACAAATGATCTAACTTGTAAGTACCTGAAATAATACACTGAGGCAACGAAGAGGCGGTGGCCATCTCACGAATACCATGTAATGTGATTATGTATAAGGTACGAACTAGTCAGTAACAAATAAAATTTAAATATAAATATAATTATATGATCTATTGCTTTATCATTCTTTACTCAGATTATTAATTTTAAATAATTGGGTTAATATTTCGTCACCGTGAAGACAAAATGAAGTCCGAAATTTTTTTTTTACATAATAAAGTAGATTACATTAGCTTTAATTTAATGTATATATAAAAGTGTCAGACTTTCTGGAACACTTTCAAAAGTTAAATTGAAAAAGTTTTTGTAAATAAGTTGTCATTTTTAATCCTCTCCTATGGGTAGGTAAAGGGTCCAATATAAAAAAAAATATACTAATTGATAAGTAAAGACATCATGCATTTATAAAAAAAAAATTATATTGATTTGATAATTTTTAAAAAAGTTATGGCAGTTTTAAGTAAAAAAATTGAAAAAATTAGCGATTTTTAAATTTGTAATTTTTTTGGAGATTTCCCCCATTTACAGGAAACGAGGGAAATTTATTTAATTTTTGAGAGTAACATCTTTGACTAGATACGATTTGATATCTTTGACTTATCGTTGAAAGAAATCGGTTTGTTGATAGCTTAGAAAAAGTGGTAAAATTTGTGTAAACTGGCAAAAACTGATAATATTACTTAGTGATAAGGTCTCTAGGTGATAAGTTCACTATGGGTATAAAGAGGTATTATCAGGGGGGGTGTCAGTTTGCGTTTAGCATTGATAATGATAATTCGTTCAGGAAATGCGTATCCGAGAATTTCCTTAGTGATTTTTGTGGTTTTTTGAGTTAAACATTTAAAATTAATATTCTTTATATAATTTTAATTTTGAATAATAGTAGACATAAGTGATCAATATTTATTATATAATTTTTTTCTTTAGATTTATTTTTTATTAAATCAACCGTTTGCGTTTTATTATAAAGTAATAATTTGTATTTAAAGAAAAAAATTTATAATATTTTATTGGACAAAAATATTATAAAAACAAAATTTTTGTCATATTTTGTCTATTATTTTATCTAGTCAAAAATAGGGGTTTCCATTCAAAAAAAAATTTATTCGAGATTTTTATACCCAATGAGGTGTAAAAATAATGATTTGAGAATATAATGTTATACAGTTTTCTGATCCTAATAATTTTTTTTTTTACAAAAATATAAATTTGTCATAGTTTTTGAGATAATAAGTGTCTAAACTGAAATCAAACACTGTGTATAACAATATTTTAAAATTCGATCTCTTAATATCTTGGTTGAATGTAATAAATGTTTAAAATAACCAAGCTGCAAGTAATCAGTAAGGTACTGTTTAAGGCTATGACTCCTTGTTGCTGTAAGTTTTAGAATGTTATTATTAAAATAATACACTTAATTACAATCAAACTCAAATAATAATTTTTAAGAAAACTATTATAAATAAAAATCATTATTTTTAGCAGAGAATGAGTTAATGTTACTATGATATGTTTTTTTGTGTGTCTGTAACCACTTATGCTCAGCTCTCACTGGACCGATTTTAATGAATAATATGTCAATAGACACAAATTGTAACAAATCGAATACAGTACTCTCAAAAATTGAAAAAAATTACAAATTTAAAAATTGTTAATTTCAACATTTTTTCAAATTTTTTTACTTAAAACTTTTTGAAAAACGGATGAATAGAAACAATTTTTTTTTTATCGTTATATTAGGTATTTACCTATCATTTGTTATATTTTTTAATGAAAATGTGACTCTTTACAGAGAGGGATTCAAAATTATAACTTTTCCACAAACAATTAACAAAACTTTTGAAAATGTTCCAAAAAAACTGACATTTTTATATATATTTTATATGAAACATTAATTAATACATTTTAATTTGAAAAAAAAAAAAATCGAATTTTACGTTATCTTCATGGTGAAAATGGCTACCGTTTTCAAAAATATGCTATTTTTGTGTTAAAATTCTTGATTTTATATTTTATTTTATTTTAAAATATCTTACAAGGTGACTACACTAATTTTCATAAATATAATTAAAATCTAATTGAAATAGCATAAAAGATAACCCTGTTTAATTTTTTTTCTTCTGTTATGTCGAGAAAAATTAATTTGAAATTTCGTTATTTTACTATATGGTTTTTTTGTGGATGACATTCATTTTCTCAGCTCTCTTATTGTTACTTAATGTATCATACTTAATGTAATAATAGGTTTCAACTACAAAATTAAATCATTTTACTTTGTAATATATTAATTTTTTAACTATACTTGTATTTTACTAATTGTCTATAGTATTCTAAATTTTTTGTTAACATGATGCTATATCAATCATTTCTAAAAAAAATGATTTTTACTTTCACTTGAATTTAACAATGAATTTTTACAATAATATTCAACGTCTATAATACGCTTAATTGAGTATATTTTTTAACATTTTGATTGTTTTTTTAGTTAAAGTAAATCTAATAAACGAATTATTTTATTTTTAAAATCTTTTTAAACGCTAAAAATTATTTAGAAATTATTACTATGATTCATATTTATGTGATCTATTATGATTAAAATGCAAAAAAATGTTGATCTTTTCTTATAAATTTACTGTAAATAATAATTATAAAATTTCCTGACCACATATGAATGCATAACATTTTTATAATTCTCATAAAATTTTCTAATTAATGATATCAATTTCAAACTTGCAAAGTTAAACTAAAATTATGGTAAGAAATTCAACTTTTTGTATTATAACCTTTTATAAAAATGGACTTTAAAAGATTAAAAAAATAGGTTAAAAATGTCATTTTGATTATTTTTAACATTTTAAAAATCAAAATCAGTAATAATTTGAAAATTATTTTTTTTTGTTTTAATATTTTTTTTTATAAATAAATACTCATTTTTTACTAGTTAGTAATAATATCAAAAATTAGAAGTAATAGAAAAAGTCAAACTGCAGATTTCAAAACAACGCGAAAAGTTGATTGAGAAAAGTATATTTTTGTTTTGCTAAACATTTCTTGTAGTCTATTGTATAAATATTTATTTATAAGTATAAAAAATAATTTAACCCTTTAAGTTGTTATACGCGTTAAAAGTAATTAAATATACAATTAGTTTATTATTTTTATAATTTCGCTGTATAAATTATAATATTAAATTATTGAATATCAATTTCATACTAAATTTAATTACTATAATTAGTATATATTCATATATTATACTTTTAAATCAAAGAACCATTTATTAGGATACAATTAAAAAAATAGAAGTTGATGTTGCTTTTGGAATAAATTACCGATTTCTTAGAATTAAACACTATCTTTGTATCGAAGCGTTTCTTATGATAGTGATTTTAATCACTTTCAGATATCATCTATACTTGTCTCATCCTTGCCATGTCCACACTGTGCTACTTTTTTTTCCATTGAACTTAAATATAATTGAAATTTTAAATTCGAAGTTGCTAGCCATTTTTTTAATTATTTTCATTCATTTCAAAAAATGTGTGCCGAATGGTATTGAAAATGCATTGAAATAAAAAAATTTTAAATATATATATAAAAGGAAGAAAATCTTGTACTATAGAGTTTTTAAATATGTTAGCTACATGATTTAGGTTTACTTCAGTAGAATGTGAGTTTTTTTTATAGCATAACTCAGAAGATATTACCAACATACTTAGTTTTTCTACAATAGTTATTGTTAAATAGAATTTTTTTTCCTTTTTTGTGGATAGATCGTTCGGGACCCAAAGTACAGAAATATTTTTTAATATTTATAAATATTAAACATAAAATAGAGCATTTTGAAAACTAAATATCTCATCGTGTCTCTTCTCATCTATTTAGTGTTTATACTTAATTTTAATTAAATGTGAGTATTGTCCTCATATAGAATAATTTTAATCATGATATATAAGTCATGTTAATGCTTAGCTATAGTCAAAGAAAACGTATAAATTGAGAAATTGTTTTTTATTTATGTATTTATTAAATAATTACTGAATATCATCAGTAATAATTATCATCAGTATAATATTATGATATATAATTTATTATAAAATAGATTTAGTATAAAATGATACAATAAACAACATAGGTAATAATAAATACGAATTATATTACTATTTACAAATGTGTTAAGTATAAAGGTAACTGAAGTAATTTAAATTTAATTTTTAAATAAAATATGTTAGATATATTATAAAGTTTTGATGTCACGTTATCTCAATTATTGTAAAATGATTGATCAAGATACTCGAAACAAAAACTACAATGTTTTAACAATGTAATATCAAAATATATTGTCGCAACATAAATTATACTTAAATATATTATTTAAATATAAACATATGATCTGAAAAGACTCTTAAATTTCAATTAAAAACTAATATATTAGAGATTTCTATTTGTATTGTGAAGTTGGAGTGGTTAATTAAAATTGTCTCTAATAAGCTGGCTGCTTTTTAGCCCTTAATAATACGCCATAATAACCAAGTACGTTAAAACTTAAGTAAAATAATAGAAGTATGATGAGATCCAATTCAAATCGGTGAATATTATATCCATAACTCAATAAAACTTCTTTTCCGTTACGTAAACAATCGTCTTTGAAACATGCTAAACATAAATAAATCAAAATTAAAAATTAATAAATCCCTTGTGTTTGCTAAAAAGATTGATCTTCTTATTAGTAATTTTTTTAATAATATATATTTAAAAAATTATTATTTAACAATAAGCATAATTTCTGAATTATAGTAATCATATTTCCGTATAACAGTTTAAAGAAACCTCCCAGTGGAAGTATTTAAGCATAAAAACAATAATAAGTCATGATGTACATTATTTATTTTTGCAATATTTACAGAGTTAGTATAAACAGTAGAGTAGGAGGTTGGCTTGCAAGCTATAAAATATTGGAGTATATTAGTGATTAATTATTTTAAAAAAATTCAGCAAGTCTTGACACCACCATTTTCTTAATAATTTACGAGAATTTTCTGGTATTGTGTTACAAGCACAAAAGTTACGTTTTAAACACATTTTTGTTTAAATTACCAAAAATGTCAAAATTTACATTGGTCTTATAGGGAGTTTTAAATTGTTTATTTATGTTTTTCACAGATTTTTTTAACCCAACCTTGATTACAAGAAAGAACATAGATTAGCGGATTTTTGTGTTTAAATTAGGAAATCTGGATTGACACTGATTGAATCCGTTAATTCGTAAGATAATTATTTTGTAATAGCAAATAATTATTAATAATTCAATATCTGTAATTTTTATTTAGAAAAAGTAACATCCTGTAGTGATAAAAAGAGTACAAATGAACTATAGAATGTATACAATTTTAACAATCACATTACATTTAAGACACTTAATTTTAATTTCCAGAAACTATCAACAAAAAAAATTAAAATTAACACAATTTATTACATAAATTTAACATGTGATATATAGAGCTATTTAAAACATAATGTTTTGACTGATGTTGAACAGAAATAACATTATTGTGCCGAGTATAGTATCGAGTGAGATTATTGGTATACTCACACAAAAGATTCGGACTATCAACCAAACCATTTAAAATTTAAATAAAAATAAAGTATATCCATGTATAAACGTCAATTTTTTAACGAGTTCAGGTTACAGTAATGTTCAATGTCAACAATAGATTTCCACTTATATTAATTGTATGTGCCAAAATGGTAAAAATGTTCTTTGGATTTCTTCTAATTTATCGATAAGACCAGTTTGGATTATATTTCACACAACTGACCATATTCAAAACCCAAACGTATTAAGATTGAATAAAACACTAAGTGTAATCTAAATCCTTAAAATTATTACCCTTCTATTAAATTCAACAATTCAAACCACAGCCACCAACAAATTATATATTTTAATGACATATTTTACGTTGTATTAATAACAAAGCCTATTCAGAGAATAAATGTATATGATTTGATATTACTTGAACATACGAATAAAAGGTATTTCTTGCCAGTGTAAAATAGATAAAGCTTCACAACCAAGGAAAAATAAAGAAAAATTCTTGAAGCAGTTTAGTAATGGTGGTATGGAACTGAAATGATAATTTTCCATGTATTTTTCATTTATCAATATTATATAAATAATTTTTATCTTACCTAAAAGAAATGTATGCGCCACTGAGGGATACTGTCAAGTAATCATATAGCAATGAGAACATAATTATTGTTTCTATCCTTTCGAAATAGGCGGATAATACACTTCCTTAAAAAATATAATTATAGTTTCAAGTGTCATAAATGAATTCAATCGTAAATTTAAAGAAAAAAAATTACCATATGTTCTACAAGTCAACATGATGATCAAGAAAGTCATTACTCGAAGAAACTTAAAACCGACACCCACTATGTGAAATGATATAAAAATGAGAACAAATACTTCAAAAGTTGTCCACAGTAACTTAATAAAAAAAACATTTAATGTACTCTATGAAAACTTAGTATTTATTATACTTACTGAAATGAGAACTTCTGAAACGTAGAAAGCGCTCAAGTAATAAATTTTGTTACTGACTTCGCGGTGTATTATAGGAAATTCTTTATGGTAAGTTATGATTGAGGAATAACAAAATTGGAACATAGAGTTAATGGTGAAACTGAACCAAAATCCTTGCCAGTTTTGTACAGCACTCGTATCGAACATTAAATTTCCATATGGTGTTGCAATAACAAGACCCAAAAACTGTTTTTTTTTTTTTAAATATTTTAAATTAAATAACGATTATGCTATTTTTAATATTATTTTAAATTTGTAGTTACATTTTCTTACAACAAAAATTTTTTTTTTTTTAATTTTGTTTAAAAAAAATTGTGTCAAAGTTCATTAATATATGAATTTTATTACAGAATTTTTATCAAAAATATGTTATCGATATGCAATGTTTGTAATTTCGCGTTAAAAACTAAATACAAATATCAAAACATATGTCTATTATTACACAGATGACTATGTGTGCTATACATTACACCATTTATTTTTAAATTTACATTTAATAATTTAAAACCACAATCACATTTCGATTACAACAAAATGTATGCTAAGGTTGTTGTGTACTATCGTATAGCACGTCATATTACTCATCATTGATAATCAAGTGTACCTAAAATGACTAAGTATTATTAATACGCCACGAGTACTTATCTATACAAATAATTACTATAGTTAATTATTACAAACAAATAATTATACTATATTTCGATTAAAATTAATTCTATTGTTCTCGGTACTTACCAATATTGTTAATAATTCTAGTCCATGATTTTTGTAGTCTCTAACAAAAGATTTAGAAGATCGTATAAAGACAAGTTTGAGCTGTGTTATCCAAAGTGGCTTTTTACTATAAAGCAAAAAATTGATTTTACAGATATTCATGAATGTACATAGCATAATATTTTGAATAATATATTAAATATAAAATTGTATGTTAAAAAAAAAACGATAGTTCAACTATAAATTTTACAATGATAAATTAAAATTTTATTGCTACATTGAATTAATGTGAAAAAGTATAATGTGCCATACTAATATTATACTTGCGTATTCAAAAGATGCTCATACTCCAGTTGTGCCTATAATTTTCAAATAATTTAGTTACGGACGAGGTTGAAAATTTTAGTTTTTATGAAAATCGTTCTTACACTATTGTTAAACGAATGGTAATTGCTATCTATTTGTTCATCGCTGGAGGACATTTTGCACATTTTGTCAATATTACATTTTGTTAATTTCTCGTCCGAGTTTAAAATTGATATAACATAATCCGCTTTATTGAACATGTCAGGACATGCATAATCGAATCTAAAAAAGTCGATAGTAAAAGAAATTGTACAATCGATAGATCAAGTCGAAGTAAAATATTTCTACTTTTCAAAAAATTGATTTACAAAAGATACTGGGCCTTGGTAGGCCAGTCGCCCGTGTGTAAGCAGTACAATGTCATCAAACAAATCGAAAACACCAGACGCAGGTTGGTGGATAGTACAAACGACAATTTTTCCTGTCCTTGCTATGCTCTTGAGGATGTTTACAATATGAGCAGCTGAGTAACTATCTAAACCCGTCGTGATTTCGTCGCAAAATAAAATAGGAGGGTCGTTTAACAGTTCCACGCATAAAGCTACTTTTTTACCCTCACCTCCTGACAAGTACATCAATTTGGTGTTTAAAAAATTATTCATTCCTATCGTAGTAACTAAATGGTCTATACGGTCTTTTAACTTTTCATTGCTTGTAGTACGGTCCATTTTTAATTTGGCCTGTAAATCAGTCTTTTAAAATACCAACAAACTTGTTAAATGAATAATATAGTACTTATTCTGACCATAAATGTCAAATGTTCCAATGCAGTTAAATGTTCGAAATGTATATCTTGTTGTGGAACAAATCCTGATATTTGTATTAGTACTTTTTCAGACACAGGTTTTCCATTGAGAAAAAGTTCACCCTCAAAATTTGCTGAAATATATCGAATTAATTGCTATTAATACTATGATTACTAAATTATATTATATACCTTTAGTTCTATGACTTATAGTAGCCATTAGCGTTGTCTTTCCTGAACCGCTAAAAATTAAAATTGTGAATGATAAATATTATGAGAATATAATGATAAAATATTATTGCTGTTACCTTGGCCCCATGATTCCTAAAAGATTTCCACTTTCTACATTACCACTGACTGAAATACATTGAGGTAATAAATTTTAAATAATTTCAAAATCAAATAAGTAAAGTAATAATTATTAATTTAAAGGCGATGCAATTATACAAGAACTAATAAAAATTTTAAATAATAATTATTTGGGAATAATTTTATATATTAGGTTACAGTTTTACAAATTATTTAACGTTTAAAACACAAAGAAAACATTTATTTAGTTTTTTGTATAAAAAATATAAATTATTAGTATTATAAAGAAGTATGCTAGTTTAGTGGAATTTAAATATAACAATAATAAAAATTGGTTATTTTTATTAAATTTACTATTATTTAAGCTATAAAAAACATAGTCAATCAATTATAGGCTTAATCAAATGTCTTTGTACTCAAGTGTGTAGTGAAAACAGAATCTTACAAATCTATTTTTTTTTAATTTAGTGTGTAACTGTGATAATTGAAAAAATATTTAATTAAAAATAAGCGTTATAAAAGTGATTCAAAACTCTTCCTCTGATAATAACTTAATATAACTCAACAACTACTTTACCTGGGTTAATTATTTTAAATTCTTTAGAAAGACAATTTTTATTAAGTTCATTTTTTTGTGGATAATGTGGTGTTTGTTTGCAAATCGCTTCTTATTATGTGGTTGAAATTTAGTCAAAGTCTGATTATAGTGAATTTATTAATGAACAAATATAATACATTTATTAATTGCAAAAGTAAACTTGACAACATTTTCATTATAGTAAATTTTGGATGATTAACTCTTAAGTTTACTTATGAATTTATTTCCGAGTTAAACTACGTATTTGTGCAATCAAATGAAGATATTTGTATCGCCTATAAACACAACTAAACTTATATTAACTTCTTTTATAATGCTACAACAACACTAACAATAATTATTAAGCTTTGTTATTGAATTATGAATGATGAATGCAATATAAGGAACTATTTTTATTTAACTATTTAACTTAAGAATAAAATCTAGAAAAGAAAACAATGTTAAATATGTTGGCCAGTGAACAGATATCAGTTACGTGTTCCAAATGACATAATGGCGCATTTAATTTTTGTTGATTATTTGACATTACTAACGTTGTCTTTTCAACAATCATTGAGTTATCGATATCAACAAATGACTTAGTTTTAAAGTCCACGAAACCCATATTTAATTTTCGATTATTTGAGCAAAATAATTTTTGTTTTTATTTTTTAATCAAATACACGAAATAAAAATTAAATTATTTGCTGCTAAAAAAGTTTGATCATAGTTTATCAAAACAACTATGATTTAAAGAAAATAAAGTAATTTTGTGATTTTTTAGATTGTTAATTATTTTATATTAAATTATTATTTATTAGAAGCCAAAAAAAACAAATAGTTTAGTATTCTTACATCTATACTACAATTGAAATGTATATATTTTATTTTTAATATGTTAATATGTTAATGAACTTTTTAGATTGATAAACAGATATGCGTTATTTACAAGTATATGTTTATTGAAATAATTTTTTATTTACACATGCGTATTTAATTGAAATTTATCTATGTAAACTTATTAAAAGATTTCAATTACTGAAAAAAACTATTTTAGTTTATTTTAAATTTTATATAAATATATTTCTATTCATAAGTAATATAATAAATTTTCATTTGACTTTTGAACACAATTTTATATATATACAATTGAGAATTTCAAAGTGCAAATTTAATGAATTACGTCAAATTTATATATGATATTGATATTTAATTATGTAATGATGGTTTTTTAATGAAGTTTCTTACCTTAGGGATCACTAAAATTGTTTAACAATTAATGATTTTGTATACACGGGTATGATTAGTTTTTTGTTGAGTTTTTTTTTTTTTAGATTTTTGAGTATTATTGACGATTTTTATGAGCCTTTATACTTTGAATTAATTTAATTTACTTTATATGTTTATATTTATGATAGCTTAAAAAAAATTATACCTAAAAAATAATAGTAAAATCATTATTATGCCAAATTCAGATAGATTTGAAAGTTAATTATACGGACTGTGTACGATATAAACTGTTGTGTATATTTTCATTTAATATTTTGATATTTATTATAAAATGAATCATCATTAATAACACTCTCGCCGAGAGATACAAACGTGACGTGATATTTATTAAAAAAGATTAAGAATACTTATTTTTAATTAATGAAAATGTAATTAATTAATAAAAAAATGAACAGAAAAATTAAATATTCAGATATGAATACAATTAACTTACATCAACATAATTTTCGAAGTTCCTAAACAAAAATTCTTAATAAATTTTATGCTATTGTATGGATGATGAAATAGGAGAATGTGATAATAATTTTTTAATTAGTTATTTAAATAAAAGTTAATATTATTATTATAGTTAATTAAAGTTTGTACAAACATTTTTATATTTTATAAACATTAAATTTAAAATAGTGGTTATTATTAAATAAATGAAATATAATCCATTGATGTTGCTTATAACTCAGACATAACTACAAAAAATAACTTAAGTCGTGGTGATAAGTATTACGAACGGGATAAGCCAAACAATAAATTGGAGTTGGGGTAAAGTAAATATTCGTCTGAATTTATTTTCATTTTATAACTGAGGCTTTTTGAATTTTTTTCGCATTTATCTAATATATCAGTGAGGGTTAATAATTATCTGACTTTTCTTAGTGGGTGTTCATTTTAAAGTAGCTTTAAAATGGTTACCTGATACCTTTATCAATCATAACTTCTTTAATAACAAAAATTTTAATACAAAGAACTCACTATTGCATAGTATATGTTTAAATGTAGTTTTTGTAGGTTTGATAAATCTAAAAACGTTTTTTGCAGAATAAACATTTATCCGTTTCCACGATAAAACCATACGGCTGTAATGCTGGAGTACTTGAGGTTCAAAATTAAAATTTTGAAATTCCTCAGCCTTTCCATTCCATTCATTCCACATAGCATTATATCGTAAGTCCAAAGTTTTTTTCTGTTAAAAGTTTCAATAATGATTAAAAAAATATTTTTAATCATGTTTTTTCGAAATTTTATTGATAAATATTAAATCGTTTATTTTTCGAAAAATCGAAATATTTCACAAATTTCAAAAAGATTATCAGATTAAATAGATAAAAAATTTAATTAGATGAGTTTTTGATCTATAAAATTTGTTATTTATCTGAAGATATAAACCTATTGATAAATACTCTATAAATGTAAAACTTTTAATGATCAAAATAAAAGAATTATTTTTCACTCTTACTTATATTTTGTGAAAATTAAAAATGTAATAAATCAAAATAATGTTATATTGATTAAAATGTCCTTAAACAAAAATTTACATTCATCAATATAAAACTAACACTATAATTTTTAAAAATAATTTTTATCAAATCGCTTACATTTTTCAATAAAAAAATATTAAATTATTATAATGAAAGTAACAGTGTTGTTTTTCAAAGAGCTGACGTAGTAAGGATACCTTTTTGGTTTTTTTTTTATTATTGTTTATCACAATTATGAAATTATTCTTTAAAAAATTTGTTAGTTACCGGTGTCATGATAAACTGCTAGTTGGGTTGGTTATTATAAATAAAAAACATTCGGTTAATTCAAGAATTTTATTTTTATTGTCTTGATTTTTAAACAAAATAATTACGAGCATAAGAACCGTGTCAGTAGATTAGTTGTGACTGAACTAATATAAACGATGATCGTTTGCACTATGAATATTAACAATGGAAACTTTTATAATTTTCTAATCACATATACATGTAATAAAATGTACGATAATGTTTATTTATTATTGTGTGTAAAATTCATGCGAAAATTGATGAATACAAACTAAATTCAATTATGTACCTAGAACTAAAATAAAAACAGATGAAAAATGTATTTTTTTCAAAAAAATTTTAATTTGTAAAAAGTAATAGTAATATTATTTGTACTCCTCGTGAACTATAAAATTATAAGATTATTTTCTCTTAAATTTATATTATTTGATATTTAGAGAAATCTTACTTAAGTTAAATATCACAATTTATAAAATTTTAATAAATTAATTTCCGTGTCTTAAGAAAACTATTTGATTATTGATTAATTTTGGACGACTGTTAACTTATTTTGAATATATATAATACAATTTTTATTAAATAATAGTCAATAGTAGCCTAATTTGAATTTATTGTAATAAATTATTAATAATAGCAAACTTTAGAAAAAAATTGATAATTTTTAAGAAATTTTCAAAACTGACTTTAATTTATTTTCAAAAAAATTATGTTTCCTCAAATGAATAAAATTTATTCAAAATTTATTAAGTTTTAGATAAACAATGTGATTTTCAAAATTCAAAAGTCTGTACCCCGTTATTTGATTCTATGGAGTAAATAAAAAAACATCCTCAATAGGTAAATAATTGACAAACAAGTATAAAAATATTGTTTTTGTGTGAATTTTTTTAAATACTAAAAATAATAATAAAATGTATACAACTAATTTTGTTAGAAAGTATGTTAGTAAAAGAAAGGTTTTGATATAAATTTATTTATCATTGACTTTGGCTGTATTGCATAAAACTAAAAAAACAATTAATTTATAATTTATGAAGAAAAATTTTTACTTTTATTTTTTGTCAATATCTCATAATATTATATTGTAAATATTATAAATTAAATATATTCAAATGTTTCAAAATTTATTATTTAAATAAGAGTAATAAAGTAAATACAAATGGTTTTGTAATAGTGAAATTTAAACGTAAAAAGTAAAAAAATTATAATATTTTCTGTTTCTTTTTTTTTTTTTTAATATAAATATTATATAATATATAATTAATTAAAAATATAAAGAAGCCAAAGTAATAAAAATATGAAGAAGCCGTAGAAAAGCAAAATATAAAGAAGCCATAGAAATAAAAAAATATATAGAAGCCATAGAAATAAAAAAATATGAAGAAGCCATAGAAATGAAAAGTATAAAGAAGCCATAGAAATAAAAAATATGAAGAAGCCATAGAAATGAAAAATATAAAGAAGCCATGGAAATAAAAAATATGAAGAAGCCATAGAAATGAAAAATATAAAGAAGCCATAGAAATAAAAAATATGAAGAAGCCATAGAAATAAAAAATATGAAGAAGCCATAGAAATGAAAAATATAAAGAAGCAATAGAAATAAAAAATATGAAGAAGCCATAGAAATAAAAACCCAGCAAAGGGGGGTCGAACGAAAACGCTTCGATGCAAATCTTTAGATAGTGTTTAATTTTAAAAAATTGGTAGATTATACCAAAAGCTACATGATCTGCTAGTTCATTATTAATATCCTAATTAAGATAAAGTATGTCGAATGAAAAAAGGAATATTAAAAAATATTATTTCTCAAAAAAAAATTATGTTGATCCATACACTTTTCAATAAGTTATATTACACAATAATAGCATTCGGTAGCCATTTTCACCGTGAAGATAAAATAAAGTCCGAAATTTTTTTTTTTCATGATAAAGTATATTATATTAGCTTTAATTTAAGATATATATAAAAGTGTCAGACCTTCCGGAACATTTTTAAAAATCAAGTTGAAAAAATTAATTTTTTGTGAAAAAGTTGTCATTTTAAATTCCTCCCTGTGAGCAAGTAAAGGGTCACATATAAAAAAAAAATATACCAAATGAAAGGTATATCATAATATGATAATTAATACCAAATGATATCATGCATCTATAAAAAAAAAAATTATATTGATTCGGTTATTTTTAAAAAAGTTATAGTAATTTTAAGGAAAAAAATTGAAAAACTTTCAAAAATTTTGATAAATTCTCATTATTAAGAGAAATTGACAAAAAAATATAAATATAAATTTTTTTGCATAAATTATAAAATAATTGTTTTTTAGTTTTTCGTTTAAAACTATATTTCTACTTCTTTTTTTCAATTTTCAACCTATTAGAGAAATATGAAGGGGTTGACCTAGATCATTCAAAATTTACTATAACTTTTATATTTACTACATAGAACAAAACAAAGTGTACATACCATCGCATTTTGAAGTCGGTAAATTGAGGACACCTCTTTATACAATGTATAACATTGTATAAAGTTGTTAAAATAATTATATTTTAACAATCAATTGGGTTTTAGTAGTAGATACATATTATCGTTATCAGTGCTCAACATTTTATTAAAATAAAAATAATAAATTATAATAATAAATCAAATTTGAATTTGTACATTTTTATGAAAAACACATTATTTAATGAAAAAATAAGAGGTATTATTCTAAAAAAGTTACACTACATAAATATTTAAGGATCTAAGCTCTTATGTCAGTATTTTGGGAAATCAACTATAGGTGACCTTTATAAGTTATTATAATTATTTTTCAACTCAAGAGATTTAAATGTGTTCATTATAGTGATAGTTATGATTATTGTTTTAACTCCTAACTGGCCGTTCAGATATTAATGTTGAATCTATACCGCCAAATCTTACAAGTTTTCCCGTTCCCACTAATACAAGTAAAGATTCTTTGAGAGAACGTTAAAGATAATCACGTAAAAATAATAAAAAATAATTACGACAAAAAAAAAGAATTAATGTTTAATAAATCAATCAAAAATAATATTTATTTTATTTATTTATCAGTAAAAATGTTAACTAATATGTTTATATCATTAAACGAATTAAAATTAAATAAAATTAAGAAACCAAAAAATGACACTGGAGATGTAATTTTTTTGTGTTTGTAGATATTTGTTGGTTATTGAGATTAACTCGTAAATTACAAAAATTATAAATAACCGTAACCAACAAATGACGCAGGAACTAACCCTTTTAAATTCTGTGAATTTTTAACAACAAACCATCCACTTGGTGAACCAGATGGTTCTTTATGATCATTGACTAGTGTTAGGATGTCTCCTTTTGATACACTCAGAGTTCCATTTAATGATGAACCTTGAAAATCTTGACGGACTACTAATAAAATGTTTGTGGAAGCATGATATGATTGACCATTAAGTTCCCTGGCTTTATTTGACTCGAATTCTCTTTTAGGATGATCTTTTGTTATCATAGACTTTTTACGAACGCCTACAGGACGTGGAAACACATCCGATTGTGTCTCCCAGCAAGGCACTTTATCGTCAGCCATTAGCGAAGGTATCACACTTAATGGCAAGCAACACTTGTATGGAACATATCCTTCTTCAGCATGAGGGGTTTGTACGTAAAGCCAGTCAGTATTCTTAAATACAGCATTCACGACCATTCCCAAAGGGAGTGCGACTTCGGTTTGGTATTGATCATCATGTTGGGTTTGATATAATAGACAACTTGCACACAACACCATTGGTATATTACCTGGGTGGTCAATAGATGACTAAAATTGACAAAAAATATTAAGCTAATAATAATGAACTATAAATAAGTGCGTAAAGTGATATTTTACTTATTTATAATACAACAGGCAATATAATGATTGTTCTTGGTTAAATTTCTTAATAGCCGGAAAATTTTAATTAACACATCTAAAGCCTATTCTAAATAATAAGAATTTGTTTGTGATATCAGAAATATCTCGAAAAAATTCGTTGAAACCGTTATTAAATTCAATATTATAAATTGAAATTTAATTATTCCAATTTTTATGCCCTCCTAGACATTTATGTTATTATATTAGCCAAAAAGTGGAAAATTTCCCTAGACAATAGTACTTTAGCTCTTAGTTTTAATTGTGCAGAGATATAAAATAATAATTACTCTTGAAAGGAATTTATCCAAGTTCGTTATTCCATAACCATATGAATGTTCAGTTTTTTTGCAGTCTAAAACCTTTTCTGACTGTTTGTACGACCTTCGTCTTACTAATGATTTTTGATCATTGTAGTTAATTTCTTGGTAATCAGGAATTTCTAGATTTAGTGAATTTCTAGTAGAAAATAAACACTAAAATAATTTACAGTATTATTTCACCTTATATTAGAGACTCAATTTACATTTTTGAAAATATTGTTTAGTATTGTTAATTTTTAATACTCGAATATTTTATTACTTACATTTTATTTAATTGCTTGTTTCCATTGTCCACAAAAGGATTTTTTGTGTGCAATACCCATGTTAACGATTCGTTATTTTTTTTCGAAAGTGATGAACTACGAAGTCCCATCTGTTTTGATTTTCATTAGATTCGATAAAACACAAACCTACTAGCTAAAAGAAAAATATAAACTAAATAAAATAAAATTATAAAACACTATCATCATATATTAATATAATTTATAGCAATTATATCAATTAAAAGTGACAATATACAATAATTTAGTATTTTTTAATCCTCATAACATTTTCTATGAACATAAAAATGAATAATAACATAAATATGAATAAAAAAATATTATAGAAAACAGTTCAGCTTTATCTTTTTGAAAAACGCTGTCAAACTCAATTTAAAAGTCCACATCAAAGATAAAGTATTACAGAATGATTTAAAAATTTGCACAAACTTATCATAATACTATAAATATAATTAATGGTGAGTGAAAAAAAAAAATATATTTTTTATTAACATATTATGTGAAAAGCCCATACTTTAACTAATAGTTAAAATAAGATACTTAAATTGAGGTTAGAATATTTATGGTAGAGCCCAAAACTAAGAGCAAATTCATAATCAGCAACAAAATAAACTATCAAAAACAATAAAAAAAAATTTCATAAATATTCTATGATCAAATTTTGTCGAGCGATATTATTTGATTTGACATATTATTATATAAAAAAAATTGTCAGATATTTTTCAAATTAATGAATTAAATTACAATTTCTAAGTAATAGTTTTGTTTCTAAATGATTAATTCGTATTAAACTACAAAAAATAAAATGGTAGAATAATTTCCTTAATTTAAGCATGGAGCATATTTACACTTCTGTATATTCTGCTGTCTACAAATAAAATGAATTTTGTAAAAAAATAAACTTATGTTATTTGAACAAATTTAATACCCTATGATTACACGGAAAAAAAATGCGTGTAATCATAAGGTATTAAAAATAAAAAAATTTTGTTTTTATTTAAAGTACATTATTTTTACTTACCTATTTGTAAACCAAGTAACATTTTTGAACTTAAAACAAAAGTGATTTCATTAACCATCTTTAAGCAACTATCAAGTTTTTTTTACTGTGAAACATTACTTGATAAAATTCACAACCATTGAAAGTAGCAAACAGTAATGTACAAACTTGATCTCACCAATAACCGACACGTACACGACTTAAACCGGGTCTGATTATTATTTTTTTGTTATTCTTTATGTATTTATTTATCTTTTTTTATCCATTATCGTCATCGACGCCAGGATTTAATTGTTTAAGGGGCGTTTTAAGTCAGGTCTCCTCTCACGTGTACCCGTCCTCGTGTCTACACATGACGTTTACCTAATCGTTCAATAGTATACAGCGTCAACCAAATACTGAAACCATTGTGGATCAACAGGAGAGGTAGACGTAAAGATTAAGAAATGGAGAAAAAGGAGGAGGCGTGACTTGACCCTCGCTTAATCTTAACCGGTAAACGTTGCGAGTTAATCGTGGGAACGCCATATGACCCTTAGCTTATGGGCTATGTCTCGTACAAAAATTAAGTATCTACTTAATAATTCTCCTATTAAAGCGTTTGTAAAATCTTTATGAATATTTTACTCGTCCGTTTGGTTCGTGCCATAGTTTAGCATTAAAAAATTTAACTCCGATAGAAATTATACACGATTATTTGACTAATGCTGTTAGCAATTGCGTTTAATCCCAATGTATTCGTAAATTATATTATATTTCTTATAATGTCAATTCGTTTGATTTACTAGTGGTATATAAATAGGACATAATAGTCACATCAAATATGAACCAAAATTGTCTTAATAATTAAATTAAATATAACAGTATTAAAAAAATTAAGGATTTTCATGCATAAAGTGGAATTTTAAACTCATTCAATAAGAGTATAAAATTCCAATAAATGTAATTAAAAATAGTATAAAATTGAAAAAAAAATAAATTAGTGTGTATTAAAAATAAAATGATTATAAAAATTTATTGTTATTATTTTAAAATATGGTAATTTATGTTTTAGTAATTCCAAAATCAATGGCGTTCTTGGGGTCTCGTTTTGGGGGGATATATACATAAGACATTTTTCAACTACCCCTCTTCTTTACCATTTAATTATTTTCATCTTAGGTGATTCTATATAAATTTTATTTTTGTATGCTTTAGTATATTTTTAAATATTTAAGTTCTTGTTTACAACAGAAAAATAATCAATAACACTTAATACTCATTTGAAAAATGATATCCCTTAAACAGCAATCAATCAATACCAATGGTGTATAATTGCACTTCTTGTTGTTTATTGGTTATTGTATGAAAAAAAAATAGTTTAATAATATTAATAACAGTGATATCCAATAAAAGCGGTTGAAATAAAATCATAAGTACCTATACTCTATAAATTTCATTCTTATAAGGACGAAAACGTACTTATGGAAGCATGATGGGTTTTTCTTTTGATTTTACTTTTTATATCTATATCCCTCTAAAGAAAACTGAATAATGCCAATATGTTTATGAATCTATTATGATTTTAGTTAGACTCGATTATTTAATTGTTTATATACGTCAAAGGAGCATGAGGTATTTTTTCATCATAATTGTTATTAGAGTCATTAATGAAAATACTAATTTTTCATTTTCGGCAATTCATTGCCTACCTTGAGATGGTGCTGACTTTATTAAACTCAATGAGTTTTTCTAAAAATTATACAACTGTTTTATTGTAGGTGGTGATTATAATGCCAAACATACTCACTGGGGATCAAGACTGATTACTCCCAAAAGGGCGAGCACTATTAAAATCGGCTAATTATAATAAATCTCAGCTTATTTCTAATAGAAAACGAACTTACTGGTTCTAAGTGACTAATAAAAATACTGATCTTTTAGATTTCTTCGTAGTTAAAGATATCTTTTTTGATTATATTTAAGCAGAAGAGCTGGTAGATCTGTCGTCTAATGACATTTCTGTGTTATTAACAACAACCTCGAATGTCATATTAAAAAAGCGGAAGGTTTTACTTACAAATAATTAGACAGGTTGGGATCGTTTTAGAATGGCCTTAGAAAAAACTATTACACTTTTCGTACGGTTGAAAATAGCAACTGACATAGAAAAATTAGTACATTAACTAAGTTATATTTAAGCGAATTATCTGTTATAGTTTCTATCGATTATTCTTTATGGAGAGCTACAAGAAAAATTAAAAGACCTCAAGCTTATAAATCTCCTATTCGCAAAGAATGTGGTACATAGGTTCGTAGCGATATAGAGAAAGCAGAAGTATATGCAATTCACTTAGAAAATGTTTTTTAACTAAACAACATAAACTCAGAACTTGACCAAGTACAGTATCAACCATCAAATCAAACTAATTATAAAATACGGCACATTACACCACTGGAAATTACTCATGAAATTGATACAAATATCAACACTAAAAAGAAACCGGGTTGTGATAAAAATAGCCTTCGTGTTCCAAAAGAATTACCTAAAAAAGCTATCTAACACATATTTATAACGCTATAATATGCACACATTATATTCCAAAACAATGGAAATAGGCGCAAATAATAATGTTGCTGAAACCAGTCAAACCTCAAAAGCAATCTCCTTTATATAGACAAATATCAGCCCTCCTGAGTATGGCTAAAATTTTAGAAAAGCTTCTCTAAAACCTTTAATAGAAATAAAAACTTATTCCATATCATAAATTTTCTTTTAGAAATAAACGTTCAATCATAGACCAAATTTTTTGTATTATAAACGTAATAAGTAACGCGTTCGAAAAAAAAATATTGTTGCGGAGTATTCTTAAGGCTTTCGATAAAGTTTGGTTTAATGGTTTGCTAATAAAATTATGAGAACAATTACCAAACTCTTTGTGTACACTCTTGAGTCCTATTTGACTAAAAGACAGTTCCGAGACACACACGAAGAACTGATTGAAAAAATATAATGGCTAGAGTTCCACAAGGTAGTGTATTGGGCCCTATATTGTATCTACTCTACACTGACATTCCGACCTACACTAACTCAACAACAACTATGTTTGCTGATGATACTGCAATACTAATAACTCATCAACGGATAGTCTCCTTAACTAGAGACACCATGTACACCAGAAAAGACGCAGATAAAAGATAAACTGCGCAAACTCTATTGGTTAATTGTAAAACATTCACTAGAGAACAAACGTTTGTTATTCGTATTAATCGTAAGACCCATTTGGACTTACGAAATTCAATTTTGGGGTTGTGCTAGCAAGTCCAACTTAGCGGTTATACAACCTTATCAAATTATTGCACTTCATACGATCGTCGCGGCTTACCGATTCGATAAAAATGATGTACTTCATTGTATTATGATGTTGTCAATCGTAGCAGATGAAGTCACTCGGTTTGCATAAGGTTAGAATAACATGAAAACCTAGTGGCAATTCAACTATTAGACAATTTCAATGACCTAAGATGTCTAAAACGCGTCATATCATACTACTTGTTTTAAATGTATAAATACTTATATTAAAATTTGAATATTATTTTATCATTACTACACTTAGTTAGGTAAAGTCTGAATCCTATTCATATTGTACTTGTATGTGTATATATTAATTAATATACTAATGTATTTATATCTAATTTTATATTTATAAAAAAACATTTAATTGTATTGATTAAGATACATAATCATTTCAATAAAAAATACCTAGGTTATTAAAAAAAAAAAAGAATAATTATAATTTTTATTGCATATGATATAGAAATCCAAATACAATGATTTGAATAGTTGAATTAAAATTCAATCATTTTTTGTAATTTAACACATTGTTTTATAACAAACAAGATATATGATATCTTAATGTAAAATAATGTGAAAATTAAGCTTACAAATTTTTTATAAATATTTTTAACTATTTATAATAATATTTCTACTATTTGAGTTAATATACTGGATATTTTATGATTAAAAAGTTAGTTAAATTAAATTTTAGACATAGAATATATAAATTGATAAAAGAATACTAAAATATATGTCAAGTTCAATAAACTGTATATTTAAAATTAATATTTGCTCTCACATACAACATAACAATGCATAAAATTAGTGTTGTCTACAATTCATTTTTTTTACTACGATAAATTTTTTTATTATAATAAATCAATATTTCTGTGAAATTATATAGCTTAACATAATAATAATTATTATTATTTCTTTTTCTACGATCGTAACATAGATCCACAGTAAAACAATGATCATTTTTCTTATTTTATTACATTTTTCATATATGTATATGTAGTATAATAGCGTATATAATTTAGCTTAAAATTTAGTACAATACTATTATTATAATATGTATGGAAATATTGATAAATTTGACTGGAAAATGGGATGATGGGACTCTAATATTGCTATAAAGCTATGTTTCTTATACATTTATACAAACATGAAATTTGTGCTCATAAAATAATAGAAAATTAAAAAAAAAATCTAATAAAAACAGTCTCATTATATCGCACATATGACGTAGAAGTGCAGCAAATTTGTTTAATTCACAAAAATTAAATGGAACACAAATATATAATTTAAGTATACAATTATAAGTATGTTAATAATGAAAATCATATGAATAAATATATATGATATACAAACATTTAAATGGAACGTTTTGCCCCAAAAGAAGGATAAACAACATTTTTACAACCTTTAAATTAAGAGCATAATAATATGTGACTCATATTTACATAAAAAAAGTATTAGTATACATTTTTTTACTTTATAGAAAAAATTTGACTAGATATGAATATGTATATTAGTTAGACTAAGTTAATAAACGTGTTCAAATTAAAAACAATTATTAGGTTCTCATTTTGAAAATAATTGCAATGGATTGTTCCTAATTTAATAGTAACATGATACTGTAATATTTCTGAATAACATATATTATTTTTGTAATTAATAATACAGTATAATAATTAGTCATTAAAATATTAAATGGACGGCTTTATGACACTTGACTATTAGGAAAACAGTTTCCTAATTACATTTTTTTTTTTACACTTATTGGGTACATAATGAAAAGCTCTTTTCTCGACCAGTTTCCTTAAATAAACACTGAAGGAAAACAAAATAAAAATAAATTTATCAATTTTAAAAAGAACTAATACAAATAGGCACAATTAATGTCTGTAACAAAAACGTTTAAACAAATAAAGTATTATTTACATTATCACAGAAAAACTAAACAAACTAATTGTACTTTAAAATGCAAAAAATGGCACATACAAAAATTACAGTAATTAGGAAAAAAATGGGTACCTGTAAGCATTAGCGTGTGCATTACATTCACATCATAAAATAATCTTTACACTAATTATACTTTATAATTATGGTAACTGTAAAAGGTACCTTAATTTAATATTTATGTAGTATGATCTAAATGAAATATGAGTTTTCTTACTTAATTTTACAACTTATAGTAAGTGTATAAACTACATAAAAATAAAAAAGTGAAAAACATAAATCAAATTGAAATATTATATACAAAAGTAATGAAAATAAAATTAAAAATAAACAATAATATTTAACAATAATAATAATCAACACAACATACTTAAGTTTTACTATTTATTTAAAAGAATAGTCAATTAATTATCAAATTATAATACAAATTTTATATTATAGGAACATATTAAGAACAATGTAGAAAAAAATGAAAGTTTATATAAGAGGGTTAATTTTTCATTTTTATTTTTAAAAATTATGAATGAATTTTTCCTTTTAAATTTAGAGAATCAACAAAAGGAAGTTATTTTGAGGAAATAAAAGTTTAATATAATAATTATATTAAACTTTTATAAAATTTTATATAAACTATTATATAAAATGAATTATTAATTCTATTCATCAAATCTATCAAAAGCTTTACAACGTTGATTTTAACTTTGGATACTGTTAGGTTTTTTTAGCAGTTTAAGTTTATGTAAAAAATGTAATTTAAAAAATTATATTTTTGTGAACATGTTTTAATAATTATATCTGACAGATAAAAAGAAGATAAAATAAAACTTGGTAGTCAATAATCTGACTTGGAGAACACCAGTAACAACCAAAGTATTAATCTGTAATTACAACCTAATCAGAAATGTTATGATACTATCAAAAGATTCACAACCACAGGTGGAAATAACAATTGATGTTAACAAGCTAAGAAAATAGACAGATAACAGGTTTATACTAATAATTAATTTCGGTAAAATCTTTAAATTTTATTTTATATTATTTTTTATTACACGAAATTTGCATTTATTATAAATAAAAGGAGCAGAAAAAATGGAAGTGAATTTTTGTGCGGATTTTATCATGATGGTAAACGTGATTACTGGTAACTGAGGCATTCGCAAATCGCGTATTAATAGTTATGAGAACAATTTCTTTAGAGGTTACTAAGCGTTCGACTCTTTGAGGTTGTCAAAGTATTCCATAAGTTGCTTGTAGTCCATACCTAAGTTGAGGTCGTCTAACTTTATAGTATCTGTATTACTAGCAGACGTTAGTTCTTGTGCTTGATGTTGCCCAACAGGTGATGTAGTTGATGATGAAGGTTCAAATGTAAACATTGGATTGCCAATTATAGCTGCTCGTTTGACGTCCATCGATCTCCGATGACAGTTCTCAACGAATACAGGGTCGGAGTTTCTCTCAAGCCCTTTAGTGTTATTCGGAGTCCTGTTTCCGCCTATAATATTTTTAGTTTAATTGTCAATAACTACACAGACGTTTTAAATGTTATTACATACCATGACTTTTATTGCGATGATGATGATGGTGGTGATGATGGCGTCTAGGGGGCAATGGTGCCGGTTCGTCATTATCTAAGGTGTCTGTCACTCTTGCTGAAATGTTTGATTGGGTTCTGTGGGGTGGTACTGGTGGACAGTAATCAGTGGGTTTTTCTAAATTTTGATCATTAGGTGTGGGAAGCCTAAAGAATAAAATTTTCAAATTAAAATGTATTATAATTTAATAAATTTACTTGAGTTCATCAATTTCAAAAAACTCTATTAAGTGAGTTATGATACATTATCGAAAAAAAAAACGATAAGTCGAGATGAAAACAAGTTTTGTTTGAATAAAGCTAAAATTTCAAAAAAGCCAGTTTAAGCCTTTTTTTGTATTAATGATTGATTATTAAATCTGTCAGTATTAAAATTAAAAATTGACCATAGAAAATATAACGCTTCTATAAACACAGTTCTGTCGAAAAAAAGATAATAAAAGAGTAGGACCAATTAAATAGGGTGACCTATTAAGGTTAAGTCTGCTAATTATTGTTATAAATTCACTTGGTGGTTGAAATTGCAGGTAATGCGTTTAGATTTAATATATCCATAAAAGCCAACCGATCTTTACGAAAATTAACGATAGTGACTCCATAGAATACACGTTAAGGTAAAATAATTTCAAAACATAACAATTGTCTTTTGGTATATGGAGCATATCTTTAATCGATTATTGATAAGAAATATAATACCTATTTATTAAATATGTATTATTTGAATGTATAAATATATTATATTTATACATTCAAATTATTGTCTTGTCTAGGGGTAATGTCTGTAGTGCACTATCTGTGATATTTAAAAAAATTATTAAAATAAAGTAATTATCGAGGAGTTTGTTGGAGGATTGGGCAAAAACAAAATAAACAAAAAAAAATTAAAAATTTGAACACAAAAATAGCATGTTTTTTAACAACGGTATCCATTTGCACTTAGAAAATAGGTCGTCGGGACAAACTTTTTTTTTTTTGAACTTTTAATACATAACATAAACTTTATTTTAACTAGCAAGTAAGTTGTGGCAGTTTTAAGACAATTTTTTTTTTTAAAATATCAAAATTTATCGATTTTAAAAATCGTCATTTTTGAGGGATATCTCCCATTTATAGGGAATGAGGGAATTTTTTTAAAATTTTTAAGTGTAATGTCTTCAACTAGATACAATTTGTGATAATTTGACGTATCCTTGAAAGAAATCGGTCCAGTGAGAGCTAAGAAAAAGTGGCGACAGACAAAAAAAAAATACATCATAATTATATTAATACCTTCTCAGCTTCGTACCGCTAAAAAACTTTGTTTATCTATCGAGAAAGAGATATATGATGATGTATATAACGTATGTCAAGATGGCTGCCTAAAATTGACACTGCTTTTCTGCCTGAAAATACGGGCCTATGCATATTAAGCAATTTTTTTTAATATATAGAATTAGCCTTCGTAGTCAGTCAACTTCAGTGTGCAAAATTAAAAACATTTAATATCACCAGCCCTTGTACGCTCATATTTTAAATTCTCATAAATCAAATAACTCGTATTTCATCTACTCCTCGTATACAGTTTTATTTTCTCTTCATTCTATTAAAAACTTCGAAATACCAATCAAACTATGTACTACACCGATTTTTAGTGATTGATTTACCTATTATTTTTCAGTTTTTTTCAACAGTTAACTAATATTTTTATAAAGAATATAAGCGTTTGTACTATTGCAAAGTTGTTTGTTTGATATACGGCACATGATAATAATCTATTTTGCCTGTGTTTCCCTTTTATTTGAAACCCCTCGATTATCATTCCATTTACTGGACCGACTTGAAAAAATTTTAAATGAAAAGGAACACATTTAAAAAAAATAATATAATCAATGAGTGCAACTCACACTTTCCAAAGTTTGTTGAAAACGACATTCCCATTGGCTGAAAGCCTGTCTTTGACACTGTAAGTGGACGTATTGATCGGAGGAACTTTGGAATGTTTATTAACATCGTCAACACCATACACAGGATTAGGCATAATACGCATATTTTCAGTGTTGTTATTGTGCGATTTGTTACCCATTGAAGGCACTAGCATTCCGGAAGACCGTTCCAACGTAGATCTACCCAACCACACCCAATCATGAGCGTTGATGGTCTGTTCTTGGGACAAAGGCTTATTTCCTACACCGCAGCTTGCACCCTCCTTAGTGCCGTTATTCACGTGACCGATGAACGGCTTTTCTATAAAATAAAACGGTACAATAAACAATTAGTGAAACAGAGAAATTGTTGCGATTTTCGTTAATAATCATAGTGATTGATAAACAAGGAAAGCTTACTCATTAACGTAGTGGTTGGCATATCTAACGATGACTGTTTATATTTTGACGCATATACGACACAGGAGATTACAAATGCCAGAATGGCAAAACATAATGCAGCCAGCAAAGTGTACATACCAAGCTCAAAAGGACTCAAGTGAGTCGGTACTTTATGAGCATGAACTGTAGTGCTACCTCCACCAATTCCTGCGATATTGTTATTGATAATATTGTTATTGTGCTGTCGAGCTTGTACCGTCGGTTCGTCGTTATTTTCATCCTTGAAACCGCCTTTTCCTGTACATATTGAAAAGAATGTTAAATTATTTTAAAATTAAAGCCACAATAGTTGTAATTTTGAAATAAAAAGTGAACCATATAACAAAAATTTCATGAAAACAATATAGTGTTTTCTCCCTGTTTTTACTTGACAGAACTTTTTTATTTAACAAACACTATACTTACAGCAAAAAAAAAAAAACCATAATTAATATGTCCCATGATAAATTGAATATTTTCAAAGTAAAAATAAATAACCTTAAGCTTTTTATATTATATCATCCTTGCCGTAAGAAGTTTACCGAATAAATGTTAGTTATAAAAATGGAAAAAAGCCATAATTTATGCTGTGATCAAATTTCGCACTAAGATAGTCATTCGTTCTACGATCATGAACTGACTAAATCTGTGATTATTCTGATTAATTATTTAAACGGATCGTTTTACTATACAATGTGATGGCGTCTGCTTTAATCGGCCACCAAGCTCAATTATTAATTGTGGTATACCGGTTGTTTTACAAACAATTATAACTGAATTTTGAGTACAATAATTAGTGATTAATATAGCAAGGAAATAATTTACGATAACAATAAGAACAATAAATAGAAACGGTATAGTAGTTATTTCCAGAGCTAATATTCTTTTATAGTACAAAACTAATTATTTCATAACGACTGACTACCATTTAGGCGAATACAATAAAAACCCAACGCACCACAATAAATTATAATCGTATTTCAATTGAGTGTATGAACGGATTCGATTAACGGACCAGTTACTAGTTATTCCGAACAATGGTTGCCACCCAGAAGACAAACAGTCATAAATTCAAAGACAGTAATGAGTTTAAGAAAGTCAAGATGTGCCTTTTCGCTACACGACAGTTAACGTTAATTGAATTAAACGAAACAAAGGTGGTAAATTATATTGAATGTACTTTTGTATAGAAAAGGAAATAGCCAAGTTCGCTTTAAGGTATCGTTAGCAATCAACTATGGCGCATTTAAATTGTTTCAAAACATTTGACATATCTGGGGTTACAAAAATGAATTTTTATGGCTTTTCTCAATTAGTGACCTAGTTTAGCACATAACCCTTAAAAGAGTCGTTTAGTTATTAAATAAATAAATAATAATAATTCATGCCTAATGATTCATTGTGTTCTTTTTTGTCTTTTGGCGGCCCAACATTTAGTATTCCACTGCCACCGCCGTCGTTCTGCACAAATTGTTCGACAGAGTATGGCGACAACAAAAAGTCTACTAGAACGTCAGCAGTCGTTTCGCTTAGAGTCATTTGAGTTTTACGGCCGTCACTTGTGGTTTCAGCACACATTTCCGGAGGACCCAATAGAACATGCAACAGTTGCCCCTTACCGGACCCAACAGCTATAACTCGAGGATGAGGTGATGCGGCCATGGGAGCAAATGCTACTACGTCCGGGTTGGTAGATTCGACGCGTAATGAATAATCGGCCAGGGCTATGGATCGCAGTGGAGTCTTCGTGTCGTCCGAGAACCACAAGTCTATATCTAGTAAGCCCTCCTGGTACTTGGCCGTCAACTTGCGGGTTACCGAAGTTTCGGCTATGTAGTTATTTTCTGCAGTAGTGTCCGGTCGGATGTTTAGCTGCAAGCCGGACACCACATTTACTGCAAGCTTAGATACACTAACTTTGTCGTTGACCACCCGGATCTCTTTGGAGACGAGCACGTGCCCAGAAAGAGCCGATATCACTTGAATCTCTGTTCTGCCCACATTGTGACCGTGTACAATCTGGCCGGTGATTGAAGCCACCCGTGGATCCGATGACCGCAGATAGCGAAGTAATAAGTCTGTGATTTTTAGCCACGTCCTACGATTAACAAAATAGCTCACCCGTCCCGAATCATGATCAGTTGCTTTGAATCTAGCATATATCTAAAAATAAAAATAGTTGTTTTAATATTTAAATGAATATTCATAATAATTTATATTAAATAAGTTTCAAAACAAACTATTTATATGAGTCACTCATAGCATTTTTATAGTAAAAAAATTCAAAACATACAATATTCTTGAGTCACACAAAAACTACGATTAAAAACTTAAATTTTATCAGAACATAATTTGTCGAACTCGATTTAATTTTTAAGTAGTTCACAAATTAAAAATATTTACGAAAAATAATGAAATTTTTAGATAAATTGATTTGCAATAAAAATGAATAAATACATTTTTTGAATATTATATAATAAAAATCAAATTTTTGGTTTGCTATTTTTTTTCTTTTTTAGAGAACACGAATAATTTAACACAATTTCAATCAATGATAATAATCTGCTCAAGTGATTCGAATAAGAGCGGAAGTATTCAATAAATTCTATCGAACAATTGTTTTAATGATTCATGCGCATATTAAGGCTTACATACACAAACTTTATTAAAAAAAAATATATTATCTTTAATCATTGAAACTTATTAGTATCAACACCGGATTGGTCCATTAAAAGACAAGTACCTCGACAGACGTCTGTTGGAATCTTAACTGACAGCTCGCCTTCCTGTCATATTCATCTGCCACCATGTCTTCAGTAATCATTTCATTTAGCCGGAAATCTTCAGGTTTCAAACCTCGCTTGCCGTCGGCCGACCTCTTGAGCTTATTTGTATACCTAATTAAACATAATCATACATAATTTATTATTCTATAAGACTAATATTCACATAAATACATCTAAGGTTATTTTTCAAAAGTTAATATGTCATTTATAACAATTTTTCAGGAGAGCAAATCAAATTAAAAACTCCAATAATGTCTTATGGAATTTGAAATTTTTAAAGTGTAAAAAGCAAATGTTCCTAATAAATTGATCGTAATTTTTCGTGTTCTGGTATAGATCACATCTTCCTCTATACAAATTATAAAAAAATCTCGAAAACCCATTTTTGTAACATATTAGTTTTTGGATGTCAGCTACAGATTTAAATGTTTCAAAAATAATTACTCGTCAACGTCATCATCAGCTTCAACGCTGGCTGGTACTCGCCAACCCTTAATCTGATTTAATTTTTGATCAGAGATAGTCAAGTCCATTTCGTTGATTTCTGGAACCCAAACAATAAAATGAGCAGTACCCGTGTAAGTCTCATATTTGACAATCACGGTAGCGTTGGACGATCCCCTAATTTCCGAGCCATCTACATATACCGAACTACATGATGAAGTGACCTTTAATAAACAATTCAAGAAAAGTAAGTCAATTAATGTAGCTAACAATTATGCAAATGTAAAATAATCCAATATTTACTTTGAGAACACTGTCGTCTTCTATTTGACAGGTTGACTGGCGAGTAACGTCTGAAATTTTACCAGAATAGCTCACTACGAATACCTTCATGGCATGGGATATTTGTTTACCCGTTAATACAGCTGTATTAATAATTTCCCAGTTCTGTAAAAAAAAATAAATACATTTATTTATTAATAATTGTCAATGAAAAGTAAATTAGCACAATGCTGTATTTATTATTTTACATTGGAATCGTAGGCGTACTACAATAGAGAGATTCTAAAAGTATAAATTAATTTTGACTCAAGGGACAACCTACGGATTTGCCCTCCTGACCAATTACCAGGATCGGCCAAACATGCCATTCTGTGGCATATAATAGATATATCAAGTTTGAGTCGCCTTTAAAACTTTTCAGTCCATTTAGAACAATGACAAATTTTAGTTTTTCACAATGCGATCTATCAATGCCACATCGGTGCCTTTATTACCTGATTTTGTGCATTATGATCGTAAATATTGGGTAAAATATTTTATGTAGATTCACTGATTATCAACCCTTCCTCGTACTAGTGATGCAAAATACAGCATGATTCATCGGTATGATACGCAGGGAGTGTGAAGACCACATGGTCCACACATAGCATTTACGACACTCGAGGGGATTCAACGCGGGAGACGAGATTAGCTACGGTAGTAATATACAGCAACAGAACGACGGAGAGACTCGCCAAACAGTTCAATACATTTATGATGAATTTATTATTAATTGCACTTTCCACACGTGTGAGTACTATCGTTCTTACTGGAACAAATCTGCTTTAACAATTTTGACAAAACGTGCAAGTTAGAGTAAAATAAGTTTAGTAAAAACTGAAAATTCTTAAAGATATTTGTTTTTTTTTTTTGTTACTTAAAGTGATACCAAATTAGTTTCAAATTAAAGACACAAGACTGAATACCTAATTATTATAGGTTGTAAAGACATTCTATGTGTTACGTGTATATTATTAACACATGACAAAATCAGAAAAAACATATAACAATAAAAGAATTCTAATACTACGACTTCTGTCGCACTATAAATTGCAGTTGTCTATAAAAACATATTTTTCAACAAAATAAAATTAATTTTTATTTTGCTCGTTCGTATAATTAATTTTTATAAAATAGAACGCTTGTTTCTACAGTAGAAATAAATTTTTACCTTAGAAATGGGAAGTACCGCTTCGGTATCGTCTTTATGTATCTCAAATCGAGCTGAAATCTTGCGCTTAACGCCATCGAGTATACCATTTACGCCATCTAAGTATAACATTTTAGTGGCCGAGACAGCACGTCTAGCGGACCTACGTCGGCCGGCTTCCTGAGCTGCTTGTCTACGATGATGCTTGTATGCAGAGCGGTGTCTATCCATTTTAGGAGGTACGGCCGCCGACGTCCAATCAGTTGTGTTTCCATTCGCTTCCAGAACGTATTGTACAGTCCATACAACTCGGCCTTCGTCCCATACTTCTTCCGATTCTGTGTCCACTTGTAATAACCACTGAAGTACTTCTTCGTACCTAGAGTTTGGCCATGGCATTTGACCACTACTGAGTGGTCCTTTATGTACCGCGGTCACAGTTATAAGAGTTCCTTTTGGGTTGGAGGTGTAGTTAATCGTCCATCGATCAGGGGAGCTGTTTTCGGCACTTAACACTCGTAATCCATTTTTCACTTTAGCTCTATTGAAAAAAAAAAAATGATTTATATTATACGACATTATAATAGAATTAAAAATAATTTATCAATAATGAAATGTTACCTTAATATAAACCCTTTAATGATTTGATCTTTTGGCCCGGCGTCAAAGAACACAGGCACGTAAGTATACGATTTGGGGTAGAGTGGCGCAGATGGAACCATAGTTAGCAGGTAAGCGTCAGTCTTGAGATCTTTATACGGTCTTTGAGCATGTTCCAGAACTGCTTGTCCGATAAAGGTAAACGGCTGCAACTGAACATCCGACTGGCTGCATCTGCTATCGGACTCGAGCAATGCATACGATATTTGCACGTGTCGCTGTGGTGTTTTCACTGGCTTGGCGTCTGGCGGATTCAATGGCGGCCACCATTTAGCCGGCAATACTAGACGAGCTGTGCAGACTCCGTCCTTAGGATCAGGTTTGCAGCTCGCCGTTACTGGACGGTCAGAACCTTCGAACATGGCCTTGGCTACAGCGCACAGTTTTCCGTAAGTTGACCGTAATCCAGTACTACTACCTGCCATGCTCTTATCACTTGTACCGCTGCCAGTACCCATAACAACTGAAGCAGTCGCTTGAGATCTGACCACACTGTAGCCAACGTGAAATAGTATACGGACTACAGGGTTATCACGGTACACGTGTTCATGAACAAGATGGGCGGACACGTCCATCGAAGAGATATCCGTAGTCGAAGACGAATACCCGGTGTTGTTATTGTTGGACATGACCGTGTTGGGGCCAGGGATTAGATAACGGGACGGTACGGTTTGCTTTGTGGAAAACGGACCGTAGCTGGCTCGAATTGACGTTTGTGGTACATCCTGCAATACAGTAAACCTGTCTATACTGAGTACAGCGCCGGCGGCGCCGTCGTCGTCGTCCGTTTGTTGCGGCTGGCGGCTACTGCCCGGCGGGTGACGAACAAAGAAGCCACCGTCTGGGTTGTCGAAATGAACTTCAACGGGTGTGACATAACCTAAACAAACAGACAACCTAATTAAATAAAGCGTCAATAACTAAAAATAATTCTAAAATCAAACGTGTATTTGTCAATAGTTTTGGGGTAGTTTTCGAAAGGCACGCCTAACAAGGATTACAGCATAATAAACAAACTTGTATTGTTGTTTTATAGGGGACATATGTGCCATAGAGGAGGAAACAATTTTAATGATCTTGTTTTAAACTTTTGGCAAATAATATTGCAATGGTATAAACTAAACGCCATTATCGAGTTCGAAAAGGAGTGTTACGATAATGTGCGTTTATGGAACGGATTTTACCGAATAGAAACTGTTGTGGCACAACGTTAGGCCGGAGGGCGGTTTGGGTGTTTAGTTAATTTTATTTGGCGCACGCACGGCAAATATCACAAGTACGTTTGTTTGATACCGTAGCACAGTCTATATTAATTCTCAGAGTTCCCACAATCGACCAAAAGTTTATGGCATACGTGGTACGAATTATAATACCCAACCGTAAGTGAAGGAAAACATTTGAAAACTGGTGTTATTTTAGAATTATTATAAAACCACACAAACTCGTATACTTGAAAACATAATACGACTGTACCTAATTTACGTTCGGATAATAGTTGAAAATAAAATAATCATTTAAATATGTATTACAAATACAAGTGTATTAAATCGAAATTTTATTTTGTTTTTTTGAACCTAAATTATTGTTTGTGCAATCTCAGAGTTCCAGTAAATTTATATTGATACGATGACACGTTAATAAAAGGCGGAAGGCAATTGAAAAACAGAGCACGACTACAGTTGACGAAACATTCGAAAAACTCAATAAACTTTTTCGCCAAAGTTCCCACTAGATAAAAAAATAAAAATCGTAAACATTGCTCAAAGCTCACCAACATCTGATGGAAGTTTATTGGTGTTACATCGCTCATGTCTAAACATGCGCGATATCGAATTTGTAAGCGACGTTTTTAAATTATTTTTTTCATCGAACGATGAACTTGGTTCGAATCAATTTAATTAATACAACTATAGTTTAAATCGAACTAAGATGCAAATTAAAATTAATATAAATAAAACACAACTACCGTTTTAAATGTAAATACACCGTTATGTTTTGCAGTACAAAACGAGTAATTAATTGATTTTAATGTTGCAAACTAAAAACAAAAATAAATTATTAACATTGTATTTATTTAGTTATTGTTGTGTATTTTATTCCGTCGGGTCAAATAAATATTGTAATACTATATAAAATTAAAAAGTAGAATGAGAATGAGGTATTCAATTGTTCAGTGAGCAACATTATGATAAAATATCTGTTTCTTCCCAGAAACAAAAAAATAAAAATAAATAGTAATAACTCGGCCGAACAAATGATAAATTAAAGTAAAAAAATTAAGAATCACAAAATAATTCTTTATTCTGAATTAATATCATATACATTATTGGGACAGAGGGCTCGATACTTCTGTCATGGTCAGATGCCCCCAAAAATGTAATAAGTGTAGATTAAAAAAATATTCAAATGTACACGAATTTACATACAAGGATATTTTATAACATAAACGATTACACACTATTGTGTATCATAGGCAAGATCTAATGTGTTTTTCCTGTGTTATATCATTTAAATAAAACACAGACATGAGCCTATTAGTCAACGTCGAAAGGATGCGGCAAACATATGGCAAAACGAAAAACATTCAAACCGCATTATCCTCGAGCGTTACTCTTGCAGAAGTGAATAGTTTAGTTTATACCAAAATCCCATCGCATTGACCTACAGTTGCGTACATATTTTTTATTATCTGCGGAAAACGTACTGCGTTGTTAGTTCATATTAACATAATAATTTATATTATTGTTATATCCCTTGAACCCTTTAGACGGTACGCACAACGACTCGAAATACATTTATTCGGAACAACTGCCAGTAGTTTAGGACATGTTGAACAAACACCGCGCGCCACAGTTTTTGGAAGTGCCACAGTTTTCGTTGTAATCATTGTCGTGCTATTACACTTTTTGTATAATAACAGATAATATAATCTACAGCGTAGCGGTCGTCATCTGCACTAAAGAAGAAAACATTGTCATCCGCAAGATGATACACGTCTATTTAGATACCAACGAGAACCGCACGGGTGGCTCGAATTGTTTAATAATTGCGGCGACCAGTTTTTTTTGCGATTATTGCGTTTGACATGGTTTTTAATTCGATGTCTCTTCGGCAATCAGGTTTTCAAACGTCCGAGAGAAAATAATGTTAACAAATTGCATAAACAAAACTCTCGCTACTGAATTTAGTAATTACCTGTTGTACGCATTCAAATAAAAAAACCAAATGTCAAAACTGAAAAATCTTCTAACGAGATCAGTAAGATATGTTCCATAATGAATGTTTTGTTGCGAATGAATTGTAACATACAACCATTCATATGTACTTTAAGCAGATGACAAAACAGTACTATTTGCCACATGGCCATTAAAAATCGTGTGATTCCTTTTGACAACATCATTTTTTATCTACAATAATGCGATGGGGTCATGTGCGAAGTATTCAACTTATGAAATCATGTATTCTTTGCCAGTCAAAAGATTGGTAGAATATAACACTGTTTGAATGAGTTCGTTAAGATTATGTCAAAATACACCGGATTAAAACTTGTTTTTCAATGTTAATCACTCAAATTTAATTATTAATCAGAACTCTTATATAATTATTTATAACCTCGATATTTTATATCTTTTAAGTTTGAAACCGGTCGATTGCGGTTCCATTCGACAGGTGTTTATTGGTCATTAAACATTTTATTTTAAATGAATTGACAAGGATTGTGCATTTAAAAAAATAATGACGTTATGACACGGATAATTTAACTACAAAAAGAGAACTTTTTAAGCACCTACTTAATATAGATTATCAAGTAAAAAGAGAACGTTCGAATTAAAGAAAAGAAATAAGAAACATTCAGTGAGGAGCGCATAATGAAATATTCGAATTCTATTCCCATGTCTCGACATATAGAATAGCATGTGATTTTTTACCGACCACAACATTGAGCGGCGTGTGCCAAACGCAGCTAAAGACGTCGCTACCATTAGTACTATTGTAATGCCTATGCGCGATTTTTATCGACCGTTTGTATTCGATTGTTACACAATAACATTATTTACATATTCAACTGTACAATGGTTGGGCTTGACGTGGCAACGGTGAATCCAAACAGGATTAAAAATATAATAATAGAGAACTTGTCTGTACGTACGTAACGTGTTATTATGCGTTTACAAATAAAATGTGTCGGAGACGAAAAGAGGAGGACGCGTCAAAAGGGGGCAAGGGTTACACTAGTAACACATACACGTAACACCTGCCAACGAGTAGCAAACAGGTGTTTGTCGGCCGGTATACGATCTCCGAATTTAATTAATCGACAGGACAGTTGACTCCAAGTTATACAAGAAAGACTATATTGTTGTTGCAGTGCAGAGCATATGCGTTGTAATCTTTCAATATGCGGCGCCATGGACCCTGTGGGGTTTACATTGAAGAATAGATAAAACATGAAATAAAATGAAAAATACACTATGACGGTATTTGTTAAAAATCACCGTAAAAACGAATTCCTAGCTACAGGCAATGCGTTTCTTGGGAGTATGAGAGGCCATGATAAAGAACAAAAATGTCCTGCGGTGTGGTTGAGCGACAGCCATTACTGTTTGCGTGTACAAAAACAGCTCAAAGGCTCTTAGAACAATAATAAAGACGCTCGATTTATTAAAGGTGTACGCTACAGTCGTATCAGAAGTCGATGTACTAGAACGAAGACGTTCCACTTAAAAGATAGTATCTTGACATTATTTTGAGAAATATAAAGAGTCGCTGAGCAGATTTTTGATTGGAGTTGGAACGCAATCGATAAGATCGAACTGATGTAAAATTGAAGCCGCGACCTCTTTGATATGATAAAATGTACTTGAGCTCGACATTTTACATTTTTAAATACTTTATACACACGCTCATCAAATTGTTTGTAAAACATTCGCATAAATGGTTTATTAAAAATTTGGCATAATCAAAAAATCTTTTTACAACACATAAATGTTCCACGCGTTTCTACGATATTCCAGACAAAGAACAAAGGTGCATTTTGTTACAGCCCTCATCCGGTATCCTGTCGTGTTTTTTTCTTTACATAGGGGGTGGGTGTTATTCCCCTCGGTTTAAGAGGGCACAAAATCCCATCCGTAAGCCACTACACTTGAAGTGTAGTATAAACGACAAAAAAAAAAAATAATAATAAAATAAAAACACTATAACTACTACTAGAGCAAAAATTGCACATATTGCGCTAAGGTATATTTTATTAAAACCACTTTTTATGTTGTTGATATAGTTTATTAATAAATCGTAATACCGGATTTTTTACATTTAGAATTAATAAATTTATAAGATTACAGAAAACGCCTTGAATATTGTTTATTGCATTTTTTTCCCGTAATAAACTTTACTTGTACGTGTCTAGGATAAATTCTTTCGTACCAGTTACAATAATTTGAAAATGTTCATACACTCAACTTTTGTAAGAAAAATACTAACATATTGAACATTTTCCAGGCTTTGCCAATTAATTGGTATACAACTTTACCGATTGACATAACTGCACAATATGTGTAACTAAATTCATATAATATATTTACGCCAATGTTTTGTGATATTTTTGTAGGAACGATATTTAATGCAATCCTCATAAAAAAAAAAATACCAACAACATAATGTAATTTTACCTCCGTGATGCTGAGTAACTCTAAATGAATTAATTCATGTAATGGAAAAACCATACTTAAAATGTATTTAAAACTTATAGTTTCGGCATGATAAAGGTAAACTAATTAAACATTTTTGAAATGTGTTGCTGAAATGTCATTTCAAACGTTTTGAGCGTGTAACTTACAGCTAAATACGCACATCATTAATAAACGTTTCAAAGAACAA